ACGACAACCTGGTGGTAAACACATAAGCACTACAGTAATTGTAGAATGTTGTTTCCATCATCGTTGCCGCTGGCCAATGATTAATAACTCAAAGTCTTTGGCATGGTTTTGACGTCACACTGGCATTCGCCCTCTATTCGAAATTAATCTGACTAGTGACTCCCCAGTACTTGCATCGGTTTAATAGGTTAATTCAGTAAATTACAACTGTCATAACTTTATACACTCAAAACCAGTAATAATGCTCACGCGAGTAGGTACCTTAAAAGTTTTGAATTGCTATAATAATAATAATAATTGCCATTTAAAAAATAAATGTTTCATTTCTTTTTATTTTATTTATGTTAATTTGAATCGAACGAGGCTTATGTAAACGTGCAATATTTGTTTACAGAAAAAAAACAATAGTGTGGTTAAATGTGTTGTAACATCTTACAATGAAAAATGTTCATTTAAAAAATAAAAATGTGCCCCGTTTTAATTGACTTGAAACATATTTGTTTAGAGTCATAAACCACGTTGTTGTTATTTTCTCCCAGGTTAAGACGTTTTCTTCAAATATTTTCAAAGATTTGACGATGACGTGTAGAAACTTGGAAAACTAAGTATTGCCGAAACTTTGGCTATCAACTTATTCTATACATATATATAAGATTTTTTTTACCTTAAGAACAATATCCAAACTTATTGCAGTTGTATATACTCTACAATAAAATCAGTGGTCCCACCTGGGAATCGAACTGATCACCTTTTTGTAAGAAAAATCCGCAAGTTTTTAAGTTAAATTTGTTTTCAACATTCGTATGTATTTTTCGCTATCTCGGACTTATACCTCTGACCTATATCGGATGATTATTTTTACTATACTATTATAGTATTATGATGTCTTAAGTCCTTGTAATTACTTAGGTAATGAACGCTAGAGAGATAATACTATAGAAATAATTTACTTAGCACTGGTTTGTTTATTTAATAATGGTTGTTGTATGTGTAAACTGTCTAAAAGTTGTGATCAGAAGTTTACCGAATTGGCCTGTAAGCAAACAGTCTTATCCGGTGAAGGAAACGTATTTAAGTTAAACTAAAACAGTGTTTACCCAAAGCGTTTATAACTTTCAATATATGTACAATGTACATATTATACATAAATATATATATACATATGAAATAAAAAAATGGATGAAATGAATCTCGACGTTTGTCACCCTTCAGAAAATAAGCGACAGTCGCGATTGATTGAAAAACATTGTTTTAATGATATTAAACAGTATAAAAAAACAACAACCAAAAGTTCCACCACCTTTAATTTATCTTTTATAGAGCTTTTTTCAGAATCGTTTTTTAGGGTGCATAAATTAATTTCTGTGAACTATATCCGGGTCACGCTGTCAAGTGTAGTGAATGACGACAAACATTTAAAACCAAACCGTTTTTTTTAAGTACATAACCAATAAAATGATTAATTACCCACTTTCATCAAATGTTCCTACTTATTTTTTTTTTTTGAAAGGTAAATTGTAATTTTATAGGTCGGTAGTGAGGCCAAAAATGTTATATGGGCAGGGGCAACATTTCAGTTTTTCTTAGGGTGGGGCAAAATTTGTATCGGCCCTATTTTCATTTACAAATATAAATATTTTTTCCAAAACACTTAGATACAAAACAGTAATAACACAAATATTATAAAGCTTCATACTTATTATACTCGGTAGTCAGTTCTGACGGTTCATTATTAGTAAAGGTAGTTGCACAAAAAACAGATAATTTACGGCTATACTTTCCGAAAATTTGACCAGCCCATAAAAATCAAGGGTGGGGCAAATGCCCCCCCCCTCCAAATGACGCCACTGTATATGGGCCGGAATGTTGGACAGTAGATAAGAAAACTGAACAGAGAATGAGAGTAGCAGATATGAGAATGTTAAGATGAATGAGTGGAGTGACTAAGGATAGAATAAGAAATGAATATATAAGGGGGAGTCTAGGAGTTGCATCAATTGTGGAAAAAATGAGAGAGATAGGTATAGAAATGGTTCAGTCATGTTATGAGAAGAGATGAGGCAGAGGTAGTGAGAGGTGGTATGAAGATGAATGTAGAGGGAAAAAGAGGAAGAGGAAGACCGAAGAAAAGATGATGGACGGAATAGAAAGCGATATGAGGATAGCTGGGGTGATTGAACGAGATGTAGAAGACTGAGCTCTATGGTGGTGTAGGACTAGGATGGCCGACCTCATGTAGTTCGGAGTGTAAGGCGAAAATAAAGAAGAAGAACCTACTTTTTTTTTTTAAATATCTTGTTTTACCAATAGGAGCTAAAAAAACGGTATGCGTGTTATACAAGAAAAATCAGTACTATAAAAATTATAACCGGTAACCTTAAATCCTTTTCGATTAAAGTGATGATAATGAGTATGACTAAATGAAGAAATGTTTATCATTAGCAACGTTGTTATTTCGAGACGAGTTTGTTTTGTTGAAGTTTAACAATACTAAACAAATGGTATTCAAATGTAATCAATGTTGCTGTATTTGAATTAAGGCCAGGGTATTTTTTTATGAAATTTTTTTTTACTTAAGTAATTATTATAAACATTTGTATCTGAACAAGTTTTTTTTCAATTATTCTTAGTAGCATAAATAGACATAAATAAAGTAGATACCTACTTAAAAATGATATCAATACATGGGAACCTAGCCAGATACAATACTCCGAAATCTGTGGATCAAAACCCTAGTAATTAAATAATATGAATAAGAATGATTTGATAATCTTAACCTAAAACAAAACTAGTTCCAAGAGCGAAAGTTATTTGACTTTGTTGACGGTTAACCTTTTTTTATTTATATACTCTATAAATCCTTTTTAACTAGCTAAAGCAAATTGAAGCTTTAAGTTACTTTAATGAAACTAACTTATTACACATTGATTCGATATATTTTATAGTAGAATGGCGAATGATGAGTTCCGACCGAAAGTTGTGTCGCTTTGTTCTCTTTCTCTTGTTGTAGCTCTTTGGCTAAGTTCGGTCGAATAATTGTGTTTTAAAAGCTATTAAAACCGAACAATGTGCACTATGTATATCAAATGATCGTTTTCTATTTGATATCACACAGAGAAAATTATTATATTGTTCCGGTTCGCATAAAAGGAACGCGCAAAGTTTGCCGACTGCTTTGTGACCGTATACTGAACGTTGGTTACACACAAGTCGGACTAGAGACACACTATTTGTCCTCTCAAGATGCCGAAAATAAGACGCTATTAATTTGTATTTGGTCGGGTCGGATAGACAGACTTATAGAGTAGAGCACCAGACTTCCAAAAACTTTGAAAAACTCTTTCCGTACAAACTTGTCACCTTTTGGAGTGCTTTCCCTGTTTCTCGTTTTTCTTCTAACTCTGAGAGCTATGTGTCCTATAATCTTGTTATAGGCGTGGAAGGATTTTATGGGAAAGAGTCCTTATGCAGTGAATAAGACTTATTAAGATCCCTTTTAATTTATGGAAATCTGTAACTATATTTTCTAAATCTTATCCAGTCACATGTTTGAAAATTCTTAATTACTGTTACTTTGCCTTTTTTACAATAATTAAATCGGGAAATCCTAACCTGTATGTATCTAACTTAACTTTTATCGCATGCTGTCATGATAATTTATTTGAAAACTCAACACCAATTAACATATTAAGCTTCAGCTTTTAACAACAGTTAATTTGTTGTAAGATTTTTACCTCGAGAATAGACTATGTATTTACAGTTATTAATTATTATAAAAAAATTACTCAAGTTTAATATTTCAAATTTTTTACATAAATGACGATTAATAATGTACAAATTGTAAAATACCATACAAAAATAAGTTTGCGTGATGCCTAACGCCGCATCGTAAGTAGAAATCAAGGAAAAAAAGACTAGAGAGTAGTTTAGAGAGGCTAAATCTTTCCCCATTTTAAACCTCTTAAAAAAATATAATAAAAATAATAGTTAATTTATCAATATCTATTTTATGTCAAATCTCAAGTAGCACAAATATTTCAAAGTCTTTCTAAGTGTTTTATAACAATTTTTTAATCGAAAATTTAGTGTTATACAAATATGTTATAAGCGAAACATTTTTTAAATATTATTAAAAATAAATTGCTAGTATGTAGGTATATTGTATGGAACACTAAATTTCTAGACAAAAGAATGACTACAAAAATAATGTAATATTAGAAAGTATTTTTATAATATAACGTAAATTTTTTGTAACTACTGCGATTTGTCAACAAATAATTATTAATACATTTTAACACACGACAACTCGATTAGATTAATTAATTTAATGAAATATAATTTGTTGCGTACAAAAGATTAAGTAGGCCGTTGAATGATCTAATTTTGAATTACTTATTTAAGAGATAAATTGTTCGATTTAGTATGTATTATTTGATTACTAAAAATGGCAAAACGTTTTTATTAAAAAAAAAACTATTCGTAGTATTCGAGTTTCAAACTCATATTACGTCGCACGGTAAATTACATTTTTGGAAATCTGATATCTGCGCGAGAAGTAAGAAGTCTTTTTTTTTAAGGAGCCCTTAAGCTAGCATTTATTAAGGTGCAATTCTTCATATAAACTTAATATTATGTCAAAATTCGTGAACTTTTATATTATTAACACAGCAAAGTGGTATCTATTTTTTTAAATTAAATTTTTTTTTCCAACTCTTATAACAAATACAGGCAATATTTTTGGTCCAATAACATTGTGTTTCTACTTCAAACAGAAAGCTGTCATACTCTGATTTAAGTTTAAAAAAATATTTGGATTTTTTCTAATATTTACATGGTTTTGATTTAAGAAAAATATTTAAATACACTTTCTCATATGATGCAGATGCAGAGGCCCTGTTAAATAATAAATACCAAAATGATCAATAGCAAAGCGTAAAAAACCAATTCGTTATCGTTTTTTTTTTGTGTCTAATAGCAAATATTATAGTAAAAAAACTTACGTGCCGACGATGGACGTCTTATTTTGTGTCCAGTGTAAATTACTGACACTGTTATTTTTTCCTACCGGCACATTGACTTGACAGGTTTTTTTTTTTTTTACGAGGATTTATTATTATTATTAATGTTATTCGAACTCAAGACTTAATATCGCGACCGTTCCTTTTGGCAAACGCCACTCCAACGACCGCCGAGTTAAGTTCCCGAACGTTTAGCACGTGACTGTCGACACCGAGACGGGGATTTTGTGGCCGTTTAAGCGTTGCCGGGTCCGCGCATGCCGGCGGGTAGTAGCCGTGCTCGCCGTTAGGGGCTGTATTGTTTTTTATTGTGCTGTCGGCCAAGTATCAGAAAAAAAAAATATCACCATGATATCGCTTAATTGTATCAAAAAAAGTTTGCCCGGAAACGGTAGTATAGAAATCGTTTTATAAACGGTACGGGCCGGGGTGAGTTAATAATAACTCAAGTATAATTGACTTTACTCGAATCAAAACTATTGTTAAGCGAGTTAAAAGTTTATGGTTTATAAAATAATTAGTTCATTTAGTCGGTTCAAGAGTTGTCGTAGTAAATAATCAGTTTAACTCGCGATGAGTTCAAATATAATAAAGGGATTTTTATTTAATAGGAAATATTTTCATAATTATTATTTATAGTTTTCTATTATAACTAAATAAAGTGCCATTTTAATATTGTATTACCAAAAAAAAACTAAAATACAAGGTATTTGCAGTTTAAAAAAGCCAGGGCATTGGGGTTCAGGCGTAGTGGGATGTGGAGGACACAGGTCTATAGGAATTATTACAACTGAAAGTGATAAAATCACTTTTAAATAAACGCTTCGATACGAATCGGAGGATAATAAGTTACTGTTCATTGATATAAAAAAATGTAGTTATATTTTCAAGAATTATTAATTTTTATAAAAAAATAAAACTCCGAAAAAATATTTTGTTCGAGAGACTTATTTAGACATCTGTATATTTATATAATTTAATAAAAAAAAAATGTATTTAACATAATATTGCGCTTTGTGAAATAAAGTCCTTCAGTATGCTGTAAAAAGAAGTTTAACATTCATTATAAATGAACTTACAAAATATTTAAAAAATGTGACTAAGTGTATAAATCACAAACGTTAAACAGAATTATAATACAGGCTGAATGTGCTGTTGGCAATATTATTATTGACAAACCACCTACGTAAGGTATTTTCAACGCTTTAAACGTTTGCCTTGCAAACACTAAAAGTAACAAATACACAAATTTTTTATAAAAGAAAACAAAAAATTATGAACAAAATTTTATACATATGAACTTATTAAATTTATAAACCAGCCCATTTGAAAATCAAAAACGGTTTTAAGTAATATTTAAAATAGAATGTTTAAGTCGTTTTCTCTAAAACGCAAAACATTTTCTGGAAAAAAAAAAATATATTTTTTTTTAAATAAGCAATTTAGGAATATTTAAATATTTTAAAGGTTTTTCTCTATAAAATAGGTATTATAACTTGGGGATAAATACTTGTGATGGAACTTAGATCCTAAAGTCAGGATCTTTAGTTCTTTCAAATTCTCAGAAAAATGCATCTCTCAAACTAATAGTAAACGATAAAATCACTCTTTTGGAAATGCTCGTAAGTTGAGTATTGTTCATACTGTCATTTTCCAATAGATCATATAAATATTTGGTATTAATCAAATTATCATAAATCATAAAACTTTTATTGTTTTTTTTTTTTAATTTGAAAAACGAAATGGATATTACCATCTGCAAGGTTGTCTAATTTTTGTAATTTATACACAGAGATAATAATAATTCGATTGTGCATTATATATATATGTGCGTACATGTATATAAATGTACATATGCATGCAAATTTTTGTAATCAAAAGGAGAAAGATTTAGACTATTTAGGCACTGTATAGGATTATTATTCATGTGACGATAAAACAATATTATTTGGTCCTGAAGTTTTTCATCTAGTAAATACCGTTTGTCGAGGGTGGTACCTACACTCAATTTTATAGTAAACATAGCCAGCTGCCAAAGTTCTTGGCTAGATTATAAATGATTTAAAATAACTTTTCTCGGTAGGTATTGGTTAACACCATCAGTAAATTTCTATACTTGGAATAATCCATAAAATTGTGTTTTTTTCTTTTCATACAACATTAACTAAGTAATATTATATTATGTACGTTTTAAATCATGATTGAGCGTACAAAATGACACCGCACATGCACTAAATAATAATTTATTTAAGTACCTACATTAAAAAATGCAATATTATATTGCTGACGGCTTGATTGTGTTGGCGAGGGTGGCCCATTGTTATATGTGCCATGCTTACAAACTAGACCATGTAATACAACGGATAGGTATAGTTCTACCCTGCGGTGACAACAGGTATCGCTGAGGAGGTAATGCTCGCGTTTATATTGGACGGTAGCCAAGAAAGTTAATTAGCGCTGTATAGTATACACAAACGTTTCCCTATTGTCAATGTGCGCCCGTGGTGTGTACAGCAAGGGTGTGTTTGAAGCTGTGTACAAGCGCCTGAATTTACTACTGAAAAACAATAGGTCCGCCGTTCGCATATTATTATTATCATATACCTAACCTTTATTGCACTGCGAAACCAAGGGAAACAATGAGCATTTGTCTTGCCCTCCAGTTATACCAATAGAAAATAATATAGTGCATACGTATTACGGTGTCTGATATATAATTATAATTATGATGGGATCACTTACATACTTATAAAGAGCATTACATATTAAAAAGGTACACAGTATTTTGTACACAGTGCCATTTTAATTTTTATTTGTAGTCTGTAATTTATGTAAGATACAAACAGATGGCAAAATATTATGGTGAAGCGTATCGTTTACATTTTAATAACAACAATTATAATTTAGTAGTTTGAAAATACTTTTATTGGATATATTTTGTTAATAACAAAAAAGAAAATGTTAGTTCTAAACGTATCTATATGCAATTTTAGAACATATTATGTTTTGCATTTTTGAAATAAAGGCTGCCGCAAAATCTGAAAAAACAAGACTAAATTAATTTATTTTAGTAATAGCTATAACAATTACTACTATTCAAACAAGCTCATGTCTTTTCAATAATGATCTTAATTATTATTACACAACAATATTTTAGGGATATGTTTACATTTATCGACGGGATGTTGTCCTATGGTTGAAAGTAAAATAAAATGTGATTATTATGCATAAACGTCGATCTGTGATATAACTGTTGTTATATTATTATATTGGTAATAAATTACTGTGTGCAAAATAGACAGCTACCCGAGCTATACCCGAGGCGAGAGGAAAATATAATTTTCACATCTACATATAGTGTTTATATGTATAGTCAAAATTTTGGATTTACAATAGGCGGTTAATAAAGTTTGTGGGATTTTCTTCAATTATCAACCAACTAAATTTGATATATCGTATGCAAATAACGTTTTACCTAAATACATTATTTATGAAATATTGTTTTGAAACGGGCTTAACGGTACGGCATTCAGTTTAAAATTATTTACCTGTATACCTAAGTCCTTTTAATAAACAACGATCGTCTTACGATCCGGCCTAAGGCGACTTTAAAAATAGAGACCCCAAATGTATAACCTTTTGGTTTATTATTCCACAACACAACTCTATTTTATAATATTATCTCGATCAAACGCATAGCATAAAGCAAAATTATAAATGAGAAATCGGTTCAGTATAAAGTTATGTTTATTTTATTTAACCACACCGATAGACCGTTGCAGAATACGACAAGAGACAACACAGTGGAAGTCACTTATACAAATGCAGTTATCATAAAATATCAATAATAATAAACATATTTTTTTTCTCTGTCAATTTTATTATAACCGATTTCCATTGTACTGGCATAAAACACTTTATGTGTAGTAAGTATTTACACTAAAAAAAACAGTAGGTACATATAAATTAAATAGGTCATTATGTGTATTCTATATCGGTTACGTTTTATACGTATAAATAATTTTTAGGTTGCAAATAATTTTGAATGTAACCTTTTAAAACTAACGTTTTAAATAATACTTTTTAACTCGAATAATGCAAGTGAAATTTTTGACCATTTTGATCAATATTATTTTATTTGGTATAACTTTATTTTTCTTCTGCTGAATCGAATATCTAATAGAAATAAATATTGTAATTTCACATGGCAAATTTCAGTTTGGCACGAACCCATTATTATTTGCATCCAAATTGGTTTTGGTCGGAGGTGAGGCTATGATAAAATAGAGTGTCTCCAGAACACCGAATAAGAAAACTTCCTCTCTCTTTTCTCCGTCTTCTCCCTGTTGGACAAAAAACTAATCTTACTATTGTTGCCACAGCCGTCGGTACAATTGCAGTCACTTAAGTGTTTGCATCCTTACTTAGGCCCCCTCGGCCCATGGGTGATGTAAATTATTGCGGTCGGTCGTATCAGACTCAGGTCGATGAGGACGGGGAAACTGCAATGGAGCTAAAGAAAGTGGGTGGCGACTGGCAGAACGGCGTTTATCGGTAGGTTGTAAGTACACAAAGCGAAAGAAAACAGAACGAATATAACGCTGTTTTTGTCGGAATTCTTTCAATTTTTAAATATAAATCATCGTTGACTAAAGGGATTTGTTGAAATAATGTTATTATTTTTTTTTTTAGACCCGCCTGTGCTATTGCTTTCCGCCAGTTAATTGGCACGGCCCTACCCAGAAATGATAAAAAATTAACTATACCGGGTTGATTAAACTTCATTCCCCTTTGGATTCTATTGAAGCCCATCTTCATGACGTTTGTATTCTCTTCTAAATAATAAATTATTGAATTTTTTGTTTTTTTTTTCACGAAATACTGGGACTTTTCTAATCAATCTCAAATAAATTATACATGTCGCAGAGCTTTAAAAAATTTAAGGGTTTTGTTTATTTTGTGTATGCACAAAAGTATAAAACCAGAATACAAAAAATAATATCTATCATATTTTGTAATTGTACTTTACTGAGTTGAGTTAAAACATATTGACTGGTTTTATTCGAAGGTTCTTAATTAAATATCATCCGAATTTTGCCCCATAATAGCTGTATACAATATCTATATTCAAGCCTATTAGTCAGGGCTTGATTCTCGGGTTCTATAGGCACTAATTTACAAAACATCCTTAACGTTAATCTAAGACTGTTAGCATCCCAAACACAATTAATTTATGTTTTCTCTCGATCAAAAATACTTTGCCTTACTTAGAACACAATTGCCCAATATACTACCTCTATAAATATCACACAAAAGAAAAAAATTATCATTTTATAATGCAATACATAATAATTTTAATAAAACATGTTTGATTTATTTTTTTTCTTTGGTCGGGGTTATAGTTATTACTACAATTAATCGTAATTTATAATTTATCTTGCGCTGCTGGTTAAATTCTACTGTTGCATGAACTAATAAAACGAATGAAATATTAAAAAATATCCTTCACAGCAAAACGATACACTATTCATTAGAAGCGTAGCTACGCTATCAATACCACCATCGGCGGTCACAATAGTCCAAGTTGTCTCAAATAGTTACCCCGAGTTGTGCTCAGGTTTTTCTAAAAAAATACCTCGGAACAAATTTAACCAAAGCTTGGTGCTAACAGCAAAATTTGCAAACAAAGGTAATAAATGACAAATGACTGCCTTTTTTTTATATAACAAATATAAGTCGCTTGAGTTGCAGTCAAATATCAACAAAATACATTAAAAAATAACAAATAAATTCACAAGACCGTGAAATCCTTGTAAACGCAACGTGCGAAAATAATTTCAATAATTTTAACGAAGAATACAGAAAAAAAAATATGTTTTTCCTTTTTGGGTACGAATAAACTTGAAAATTAAATTTAAAACTTTCGGTAGAGTAGTCTTCGAGCAAGTAATGTAGGCAAATAATAATAATAAAAAAATAATAATTGTTTCGTCAGCTTTAAAAATGCGCATGGTTGAGCAGAAAATGTGCTTTGTCAACTCTAATTAAATTTGTTTTATGTGTACAGCCAGTGTTTATAATTTGATTGCTACTAAAGTTCAATATTGTCCGTATATAATATATGTTTTTATTTATAAAAATTAAAAAGCAAAGCAAAAAAGCAATGCAAGTCCAAACGAAAAAAATATTATATTATTTTTAAAGGGTATAATAATAATAAAAATAAATGGACTTTTGCTATCAACTATTGAAATCTACGCAGAAGCAATGCCGACCTTTAGTCGGTTTTGGAGGAAAATGATCGAAATCAATTACAAATGGAAATAACACCTAAAATGCGTATATTATGTTCTACCGGGTAATGATACGGCTGTATCGCTAAATACGAGTACCATATTATAACATCTAAAAACATAAACACGCTGATCGAGTCACACGCGAAAGTCGACTTACAGCTAGTCTTTAAGATCACTATCCTAACCAGGATTATTAATTTTAACTTTGGTAAAACAGTTACTTCGCGCTCAGCAACGTTGGTCGGGTCTAAAACGCTAAGCGGCTTAAATAAATAATAACTCATTCGAGTGTACATAAAACCACTACATTTCACAGCTTCAAATATTGGTAATGCAATTAAAATATAACATGTACACTGTGTAAAGTTGTTGAATAACGTTTTAATACCGCTGAGTACTTTGGAATTTAAGAATATATTGTATAAATATAAATCGGTGCAGCGGGGTCGAAGAGGTCTATGTTTTTTTAATGTTCTTGAGAATTATATTATTACTGAAATTGATTTAGAAAACCCTGTTTAAAACAAAATCAATATTTTTTACTTTAAAAATATAGTATACTATGGCCAAATCACTATTTTTCAGAACATATTAATATATATAATGTAATATACATTTTTTTTCAAATATATATTGTGACCTATATAGAATAGTACAGCTAGTAGATAATTAACATATTGCAATAGGTTCTTTACAAACAACTACTGCTCATTGTTAGTGTATGTCTTTGTTAGTATAACTTTTGTTTATTTTAGCAGTATAAAAAATGAATAAAGAATATAAACATAATAACAAACTTTTTGTGTGTTGAGGGTTGAGTGATGAATATTTCAGAAATTTGATTTCTTCGATTATCGTCAGAAAAATAAAAATAACTATTAAAAACGCTTACAATTCAATAACGTTATAACAACGTTTGAAAATAAATATAATTAAATACCTAATAATGAACTCGGATGATTAAAAAAAGGTGTGGGTATAAATAACAAAAACATAATAATATTTCGGTTTGGAGAATTTATTATATTTAAAAAAAATATAACCCCATCTCTTATATTTTAAAACCATATGAACTTAAGTTTTTTAAATAGTAACGTATATATTTGATTAAGTTTTTAAATTCACAATAATTTGCTGAACATTTTGTCGATAACCAGTTTTGGATAATTAGTTTCAAATTTATTGAAGTTTAAAATTTAGGACGGGAGGTATATTGTTATCTGCGAGCATTACTCAACCGCACTTCCCCTCCAGTCTTAACTTTTAAATTTGTCCCAACTAATAACTAAAATAAGCCTAATATCTTCTAAGTTTATGACTGGGTCATAGTTAACCAATCACCCGGTATAATATAAAGCAGTACCAGAGAATAACAACGCTACAAAACTACAGAAATATAATATCATGATACTGCTAGAAAAAAAGAATAATTATAGGTTTTTTATTTACATTTTGTAGATATCAACATACGGTGAAAAACCAATAGATGTTTATGTTGCTACACCAATAAATGTATAAAACACAAGTATTGCACATAAACATTTAAATAATTTACTCTATTGTAAAATGTAAAATTTATAATACAAGGCATTATTATTAAATGATTATAAGCTACCAAGTAATAACATGCCCGCACAAAACTTTTAATTTAATTAGTACACTTAAAATCGATAACAATTGAAGGATATTAAAAAAATATACTATTTTTATTTAATAAAAATGTACTTTTGAGATTATAATAAGTTTAGAATATTATGGTACATTTTTTAATTAACATAAGTTAACTTTGATTTGAAATAGATATCCAATAACCACAAAATATAATATGGGGGCTTACAAAGTTAGTACATTCATTTAACAACAAATATGATATTATCAGATAAATATTATTGGTCAGTTTAGTTTTTTATTTATCAATAATGCCTCAAATATTATCGTGATAAATTGTTATGTTCGAAATTATTGGTTTTAAAATTATTGTTTAAAAATTATAATTTCTTAATGTGCTTAAAAAAAATAATAGCCATTCGATTGGTTTGAAAAAAAAACTATTTATTCGGTTTGAATATTAATAACACATTATATTCGTTGAATTACTCGTAGTTAGGATTTTCGTTATTTGTTCAACAACTAAAGTTGAAATAAAAACAAATAGTATCATGATCAAATAAAACGTCCCAATGGGTCCGATATAATAAATTAAAAAAACACCATAAAACTAATTAGGTATACTTATTTAGCTAGGATAATTCTATATTAAATATTTTTCCGCTTTAATCTAAAAGTAACAATTTCATTAATACGACAAATAAATCATACTATAATGATATAACGATATCAAATATCCACGACAAAAGTAAAGATAATATAATATTGTTATAATATCTATTAAAACCATTATTTTTTAAAAAATGTTAAAAAGGGTGTAATTGTTAAATAATTGATATACTTGTTATACGTGATATCAAATAGTGGTAGGGAAAAATTGTGTTTAGCTAAGCCGTTAAGTAAAATTTGCCTACCCATTACATCAAACACTATCAATAACAAAAAAAACAACTTTTGGTCTAGTTGATTTGGATAGTGTGGCTATAGATTTTTGCAAGTAAAATAGATATTACATTCTAAAAAATAGGGCAAAACATGTATCGAAGACTTGTGTAAATAATAAAGTGGTTTTTTCATATATGTAAAGCCATAAGCAAACATACACAAAAAAAAACAAGTGTTGTTTTTTCTACCGAGCAGTTATTCACGTCTTACAGAAAAACATCGTTTGACGCTCAATGTTTCGGCAGTCGTTCAACAGTGAATACATACATTAAAACTTAACTGAGCCACGCAACTCGTTTACAAAATGAAAATTAATTTGCTTCTACTTTGTTTGTATTACGTTCCGGTGGTATATTGCAAGGTCAACGATGGTACTATACTTCAGCTCAAGGATTTGACTTTCGACCTGATCCGTGGTTTCATGAGCTTCGAAATGAGCTTAAACGAATGGGAAGCGATGAAAGCCCAACGTATAAATTTCAAGGGCAAAGAACAGTCCATAAGAATCGATGTAAAGAGGGAATTGCAAAATTTCGTGAACACCCACAAATTCGTTCCAAAGGCTGATGAACTGGAAGAGATTCAAGCAATAATTTATGGCGCCTACCATTGTACCACAAAGCGATACGCCACGTTAATATCATACTTGCAACTTAAAGACCTACGGCAATTCATAGACGATCTGAGCAGGGCCAAGACCAAAGTTTTGAACAGACACCACGATGAGGTCAACGAAGAGTCCGTTTACGGTAGTAAATATCTTACGGAGGAATTCGAGGAACTCGGAATCAAATACCCCCTGGACTTCCTAATACAGAGCCCTCGTGGCGAATTTGGTGTGAAAACTATGGGTGAATATATACGGACTGGCGAGAAGAAGGTAAAAACAGTTTGGGAGTCGATCTTAAAAAAAGAACCGAAATTCGAAATCTATTACGACATCTTCGTCGACGTGGTTAGTTCGAAAAATCCTAATTACAAGTCTGGAACGGTACACGGCGATTTATTAGAAATTGTAACTGTTTTCAACGAGTTAATCCGATTAGTCGATAACTCGATCGTAGACCAATGCTCGCCACATAACAACAGTTTCGTCAGAGGTTTCGGGTCTTTGAGTGGAGAAATCAATGAAGCGTTCGAACAGTTATTACTTGAGTTGGACGCATTGCACGAAGACGATGTCGGCTCGAAGTTTTACACTGATTTTTCAAGTCCCGTAAGCCCCGTAAGCCCCGAAAGCCCAAAAGAAGGGGAAGGGGAAAAGAAAAATGAAGATATTATTGAAATAGAAAACATACGAGGTTCGGGATGTTTCCTAAAACAACTGAAATTCACTATTAACCATTTAGAAAAAAACCACACGAACACTGAAAATGCTAAAGCTATTTATGGACTAAACAAAAGACGGTAAGAAATCGGTTTTTCTTTAATAACTATTTAACCAAGTATGCTTATTAATTCGATTTGGAGCTGAGAAAATGTCGAGAAAAAAATACTTAAAAAATCGAACCCCTGTATAACTTTATACCCCTATATAATTTTCATAAACAAATTGATTTCGGTCTAAACGATACCTCTTTGTCCCACTACATCTTATATTGTATATGCTAACTCATTGAACCAAACTTTCAACTATTCATGTTAACTAACATGTTTAACCCGCCGTTTCGTGTTCAACTCCTGAATTTTCCCGCATGACTGTCTCTGTTTACCAAAATAATTGCTATAAACATTTTTAGTTTATACTTGGTTTTTATGAGACTCAAAGTAATGTTTCATTTATAAATTATTTAACAAAATATGTTCGGTGTATATTGTACATATGAATATGTTTTTGGGCTGGATACACAACTGAAATTGGTGACACGTTTTTATGTCACGAAATGACGACCTTCGATGGCCGAGCCTGGTGTGGTTGGCGCGACCGGTCCAGGGTTTCACTACGGCCATGGATTGAAACTTTTTGCATTTCTTTCGCCTGGATATTCTCAAATTATAAACTAAAATGATCTCTTATCAAAACTATCCTAGGAAATAACCAAAAACATATCCATGATTCAACGTTTCAATCATACTTATGATTAAATTATACATATGATTGAACCTAAAATCAACGATTGTGTTTTGGTACATTTATAAGGTTTACTGATCACTTTTTGTTTTTGTTTTCGAAGGATTTCAAAAAAATTAGTAGTTTTTGCTAAAATGCCCAATAAAACCGGAAACACAAAAGATGAGAGTTCAAAAGAGTTTGTCACAGAGAAGAGTTGTTTGTTTTATACCATCACCATAGATAAAACGGCCGTACAAGAAGATAATCTATTATTGATAGAAGAAGCGAAGGAGGAGCCAGTTAATTTGGAGATGGTCGTAAGTGCACCGCCAGCACCAACACGAATAAACGATGCTGATTTTATGGCCAGTTTCCTAGCATCCGAGATTTTTCCTACAACTAATTTTGATACAGCTCTTGTTCCTACTACTGATTATAATATTACTCCTGATTCGCCTTCTCCTTCAACTACGACATCTCAACCTATAATGCCTCCATCTGATCCCAACAACCTAATAATGTTATAATTTTAATATCACATAATACATACTTTCCCAAAATACTAAAAATTATGTAAAATTGAGGCACAATCAAATTGTTCACATTAATGTTAAACATTTTAAAATTATTTAGAACCTATTTAAATATTTGCTGTAAAAGTTAGTTTTATTTTTGTGCCTAATTGATATTCAGAAATAAATGTCATATTTATTAAAACACATATTATACGTATTATAGGTCTGAAATTTCCATCGTCAATTTATTTTTAATTATTATTATATAGCTGTAATTTTATGTAATTCAGTTACTTTTGAACTATTTCAATTAATAAATTAATAAATTTAAATTTTCCAACAAAATATTGGCGATTTTAGACTACTTTATTAAAACATTCTAACATTCCTACAATCTATTTTTGCAGAAACAAAATGTAGAAAATGTCACCCAAATTCATAACAACAAAGATAGGGAACGGCTACAGCTAGAGTAAAATACCAAAAATTTGATTAAATCAAATAATTGTATTATAGTACAGTACACCTATAATAATAATACTTACAAATTTGGGGCTAGTTTTTTTAGAAATATAAGTATAAAATATAGGTTGTATCACGCTATAATATTGAAAAATCTTTTTAACTAAACAATATTTATATTTTATATTTTGTTTAGCCGATTTTGTTTGTTTAGGCCACACTTCATTGTTTTTTTTAATTTTAGTGTTATAATTTTTTTTACATTATTTAATCCTTTGTAATGAAAATTACCTAATCATTGTAAAATTATTAAATGACAGCTCTTCCAAACATTTTCTTACAGGAAAGATGATTATATCATCTGAAAGTTAAAAACATTATGTGTGTTTATGTGTTTTCCAGCGTCAGTGATGTTGTGATAGTCCGACAAATAAATTTAGTACCAAAAGAGTAAAATTAGAATCCTAATTACTGGACTAATAATCATAAATCACAGTTTAAATAGAGGTTTTGCAAAAAATTGCTTATAATTAACTCCTTAATAAATAGGTGATGAATCGTTCTCTTAAAATATTTAACCAACAAGCTTTTATTTGTGTACAATATTTATTATAACTCAATTCAATTATATATAAATATAATACCAATATCATATAAATTGTAATGTCTTAGATAAAATGGCGTCTTCTTAAAAATAATATTATACAATATAGGAATTCTTTAATGCCGGCCTTACATAGTGTATGTTAGGACGTCATACCACCTATTTATTAAGGAGTAAGCTATACACAATTCGTTGCAAAATCATTATTATTGGCCAAATAATAGTCAAGACAATTTGTTTTACATATTTTAAACAATGACGACTCCATATAGGTTCTCTTGTTGGCTTTTTTTATACTATTGTACCAACATTTACAATAATTATTTATATTTTAATTCTGACATTTTTTATTAAAACTCTTAATTTAGCTTATATTTAAAGTAAAATTTAAGTTTTCTTAAAAGACTGACGAGAGAACCTAGTCAATGTTCTTTTCTTTTTAAGGGTAACAACTTTTATTTTTATGACCATTTCGCGTTGACCTAGAAGCTTTATTACCGTACATACGTTTTTACGATTATTTTTAAAGGGCATATGACGTCTTCTTAATGTTTTACTAAATGTTTGCGAAGAAACACGAGTTTTTTTTTTTTAAATATATTTATCTTTTAAGTTGAGTAAACTACATTAATAGAAGAATTTTGCCAAAAGTTCGAAAGAACCACGAGGTTTCAAATTGTTAAGCTTATTTTTTTTTTAAATCAAACAAATTGCGTTGATATAATTAACTACTCGATGAATAACTTGACGTTGAATAGTCGCCGAAAACAGCGCTTTGTCGGTAACATTTTTCACTTTAACAGTGAACATTCGTTGTTCAAACAAGAAACTGATAAAAAAAAAATCGGATGTTTGCACAAAAACGCGATTTGGATCAATATAACCTTGAACAAAACGAACGCAAGAGTGTTTTCTGTTTCAAAGTGTTTTTAATCACTACCGGATTATTCGATACCGAGTACAATCGCGTTGTGTGTGGAGATTGAAAATGATTTTGTACGTTTTTGTTTGGTGTCTAATCGTCAATGCGAATGCATTTAGCTTGCACATTTCGAAGGTCGACGAAATAACCCGAGACGTGATAAAAGAGACGTACAACGACGTTTCCGCTTTCCAGAAGTGGAGTGTTGATTTAAACCAGCACATTAAACTTACCGAAGAATACGACACACACCCTGGTGCCGTTTATCCACCCCGTTTACGACGCTAAGCAGGCGCCCAGTTTCAATGTCAAAACCGTTGTAGTCGAGTACGCCAAAAACGATTGGATGGCCGACCGGGTCGACATCGCCGTCATCCGCGCAGCGATTCGCGATGCCATCCGCGTGTCGGGGTACGCGTACACCAACCTGTTCGCCTTTCTGATGCTGCAAGACTTGGCCGAATACAAGACGGAATTGGAAGCAGCCGCGGTAGCAGAGGAAAAAGATGAAAAATATCAAATGGAACACCAAAATCAAACGGACGATTACAGGGTGCACTACGCTATCGACACCACCGGCGGAAACGTGCGGTTGTCTCAGTCGGCCAACGCTGGCGGTCCACAAAAAATGGAACCCATCTGGATGTCGATCATAACGAGAGACGCCGAACTGGAAATATATTACGAATCCTTCGAAGAGCTGTACACGCTGTACAATCCGGACGGCAGTATCCCAAAGGTGATCGTCGACTTGCACGAAATCATATGCGCTCTGAACAGTCTTATAGCCTACATAAACATGCAAGTGCCTAAAATAAGCGCGAACGACCCGGAAAATTTCGTCAGCATGTACAGATTTCTCGGCGAAGAACTCGGAGAACCGTTCATGGAATACTTGTTGGCTTTGGATGAACAAATCGTACACAACCACAGAACAAGCTTAGTACCTTTTATGGCATATAACGCGCCCGACTCGTTACCCGTACTACTTCCGTTCTCTACTATATTTTCATTAAAATTCACTAACAAACTTTCAACAACCACCGCGTCCAAAAATCCAATCAACGCAGGCAAAGATTTAAAAAAGTAAGCCAAAACTGCACTAGACATTTACTAGTTATAGCATTAGACTTGTTCAGTTACGCATACATTTTAAGTAAAGTTGAGAAAACGACTTTTAGTGATTTATTCTGGCGTTTTAAGACCACAAATTACCTAAAAACAAAAAATATAAAAATGATTTTTAGTTTAAACTTAAATTTCGTTTTTTATCAATCACTATGCACATTTTTGGTTTAAATAGTAACTAGTATTGACCTTAAAGTATAACTTTGGTTTTTGAAGATTAATATGTAAAATTGTTTGTTTTTGCTTAGGTTACGCAAAAGGTTGATGTTCAAAGGAGAAAAAAAAGAACGGCTCAAGACCATGCAAAGTAGAGCTAAGCACTTAAATAACAAATAAAATCTTCAAAATTTAAATGAATATACAAGGTCAATTTTTTAAAAATTATTAAAATTCAGAAAAAAATTCTATATTTATTTATCAGTAGCTTTGTATTAAAACAATGTAATTAACTTAATTAACATTTTGTCAACAAATAAATTATCAAGTATTCAAATAAAATTCTAAAAATAAACTATCTAAAAAAATTATTCCTTGTATGTATTTTTAATTTTAATTTACATGTTTATTATTACATTTTTTTATTAATGTTAACTAGATTAACTTCCAAAATGCTTCCAAGATCATAAAACATAGAATATGGTCTTAGGATAGTCTCTATCTATCGCTAGCTTTTCTTTTATCAGTTGGTTCTTCCTTGTCGATCATCATTCTTATTACTATTGTAATAAGTAAAATAGCTGATTTCGTGTCTATTTTAATTTGTTTTTTAACTTAATTTTTAATTTGTGATAATACAATATTGTATTACAATAAGGTAAAAAAACGAATGAATGAGATAGACCTAGGCAGAGTTATGTATCGTTCGAAAAAATGTTATCTAAGTAATCATCTAGATAACACATTATTCAAGTAAATGTTATTCGAATAATTATTATAACAAATTGAAAAAAAAATATTCCAATAATTTTTTATTTGAATAAATTGTGAAATAATTATTCGAAGAAGAATTTGCTCAACATAATAAGAATAATACTTTTGAGTCCGTTGGCTGGAACAAAATATAAGAACGCACGCAAGTCAAAGCTATCCATATGTGTTTGCGAGTGTAAACAAATGCGTACAATTTCAGTATTATTTTTCATGCAACGGGAATGATAAGAACTTGGAATTTTTTTTTCTAGCGTAAAGATTTTCTATTTGAAAGATCAGTTCGTGTAGTGCGAGGAAAAATGATAAAAGTTTGACCCGTTGGCGCAATACTACTTGTCATATAGGAATTACCGCCACGGTATCTTGCATTTACATCAATGGGGACGTAACGGTACAGAAATATTTTAACGGAAACCAGTTTGGTGCAAAGTGATAGTTTCCAAGTCAACCGACATGACATATTGATGTTCACAAAAATAATTTATAATAATATAATATGGCTTAACTCTGATGATAATGTAAAAATTATGGAACGACCAATATTTTAATCATAAAAAAATTAATAAAATAATACTTTTTTTTATTTGTCGTTTCAACATTTGGTCGTTGTTGTCAATTTTGTTATATGTTTCAGAAAATGTAAGTGATTTTACTCTCCACGAGGTGAGAATAACAGTGGTTTATAGCTTTAAAAATAAAAAATTTAAATTAAAAAAAATGTTTTTTTTCATTCTAACTAAATACCGCCAAAAAATATTATAACCGTTTTACGAACAGTAAGTTTGAAAAATACAATTACAAAAACGTTGGTATTATATATTATATATATATTTGAATATACAGAAAACAAGTTCTTGTTCGTGTAAACAGCTGCTGTTATAAATAATATAATACTATGTCGGAATTGTCAGTGATTGAAACTACCACAATTCAACGAGCGAACTACATAAATATTAAAAGAAATAATATTCCATTCTGAAATACTTAAACACTGATATAAATAAATGTAAAAATACTATTGAGTACTACTCGACTACGTAGTAATATTTTGTTGAACGACAAAAATGATTCCAATGGACGATAATGTAATAACATGTATTCATATATTGAGTTCTCAATTTAAAACTTCGTCGAAACGTTAGTAAACTTCAGCAATAGTTCACTTTACTCAATT